GCAGAAACTGCTGAATGCTATGTAAGATTCCAGGACCCAGGGTCCTCAGCATTGGACCATCAACAAAGCAGGTAATGGGACTCTCCCAGAGCTGGGGTTGCTGTGGGAGGGCCATGGTTCAGCTCGTAGCAGCTGAAGGAGCCTTGAGCCCATGAGGCTGTGAGGTGATTAAAAACTCTCTAGCCTGGTTCAGGAATGGCCTGGTTATGGAAGGCTACAGACTGCAAAGCACAGTGGTAGCTGAAAGCGAAAGTTTCAGGGAGACTTGCTTGAACTGAAAAAAGTTTCAGTTATGGGACTTCTCATATTTGGAGCTGTTTGCTTCAGAGTCATTATGTCTCTGACAGCTATACAAAGACTTAAGGGCAGCTAACAAGCCAGGCCTTGGTTTTGAGCACTCAGAGGAACTTTTAGGAATGGTACCAGAACTCTTTTTGAACTTTTGAACTTAAGAAATGAAATGGGCAGTAATGATTTCATTACAATGGGACAGTTTAAATTTACTTATGTATATACACTCTATCAACACTGATAGTTTGTGGAACTGTTTGTGTAAAAAAATGAAACTACTTAAAAATGGAATTGTTTAAATAGAAAAGTTTGGGTTTTTTCTAACTGGGTTTGATATTTAGTTTAAGAAATTATAAAGAAAATGGAGAGTTACTATTTCTCAGTCTATTTAATTTAAAAAATATTTTCTTGAGTGAAGAAATTGCTTTTGAATGTAGGTTTGTAGGAATTATATTGTGAATAGTAATGTTTATGTTAGAATTATTATGTTAACCTATTGATATTTATGCACCATGATTTAGTGAAGTTTGATGTGAATGCATCAGAAATTCATCCTATGTTTTATTAGCAAGAAATTCAAATGGTTCTATTAAGAGTTTGCTTTAAGATGTAAGGGAGAGACTTGTAACTATGTACAGCAATATTTACATTAGAATTACATTAAATTGTTAATGTTAATGATGAAGCTAAGGGGAGTTAAGTTTGATGCAGTTGCATGAAGAGTTTTTTGGTTTAGAAAGGGCTTGATGCAGCTAAGACTGCTGTCACCTTAGACCCATTCCAAAAAAAGAATGCTGTCCTTATCCTCTACTCCTACACTGGGAGGTGTGACAGCTATGGAGAGTGCTGTGAGCTCTTAATGGGGAGTTTTTTCTTTTAAAATATAAAGAAGAGGGACCTGTTGGAGCACATTAGGTCTCCTCATGGCTGTACCCAGCAGGACTGCATAAGAGGATTATTGGACCACAGGCCCGAGTACCAGGTGTTTGTAAGGTTCTACACTTGGCTGTAACTAGCAAGGGGGAGGTCCTTTGCCCCTCCTCTTGGCATAGTTATAAATACCCCTTTGGAATAAAGCTGTGGGCCAGTGGATAAGGATTCAGGCCCACCTGAATTTCTGTTTCTCTCCCCCTCTTTATTTTTATCTAAGTCTCTAATCCCTCATTCCTCAAGTGTCTCTGGGGTAAATAAATGTGAGAGCTGGTCTCCCACAGGCCTCCCCATCAGAGAATTATTCATCTGGTGTATCCACCTGTTGAATATTAGTTGTCATCTGCTGGATATTCTTATGGCCTCTGGCAAACCAAACCAAACCAAAAACAACAACAGAAAAATCTCTTTGCTTCTTCTTCTTTCCTGCCTCTCTATAACCTTTTCATTTGTCCTGGTGTCATTGGAGGGTTTGGTGTGCCATATAGTAGACCCCTTTGTCCCATCAGCTTTACTGGCAAGTGTTCATTGCAGTGAGTCACTGGTCTGGTTCAAGGCCTCTGGTTTCTGGTACACCATCCTCACTGGAGTCTCACTAGAACTCCTCTGGGATAGCCTGTGGCCGCCCTGAGTCTTAGAGATCCTGTAAGTATTGTTCCACAGGACCAATCCCTTCACTATCTCCAGCAGGTCCTAGATAGGGTAGATGGGCGGTGGGTCAACCTAAAGCCCAGCTGTGGGCCTGGGTGGTAGCCAAGCTAGTCAGTCAGGGCCACTGGGGCCACCTGCCTCGAGCAAGGGCACAGAGTCAGCTCCCCTACATGATTGCCCTCAGGGTCAGTGTACCCTCACCTATGGTGAGGGGTGAAGGCCATCTCTTCTGAGTGCAGGGGCCAGCTCTCTTGCCATAGTGAGGCAAGGCCAGCTTTCCCAGGGCCAGGGAAAGGCAGGGTCTTTCTGATTTCTTCTCATGGCCCTCTGATTTCTTCTCAAATGGTTCCTAGGGCCTCCTGGGGTGTCACAGGCCACAGACATCAACACAACTGCAGCTGGACCACAGACTCAAACATGGCCCTCAGCAGCAGCTTTGCCGGGATGACATCCTGGCTCTGGGTGGAAGGAATGGTCACTCAGGTGGGAATGGTTCTGGCAGCTATATGGACACCACCAAGGCCTCAGGTTGTGTCTCCAACTCTGAGCCTCTATGTGACCTTTGGTGGCAATGCAAGACCCAGACTTCAGCACAGACCCCAGCCGCAGTAGGGACCGACATGGTCCTTAGCAGCAGCTAGGTCTGGATGTCACCACTGCTGCAGTGGCAGTATGGCCCTGAGACACCAACATGGCCCTTCTGGGTGTCTGCACAGCCTTTGATGGCAACAGGATCATCAGACATCAGTACAGACCCTGGCTGCAGTAGGGCCATGAACCCTGACATGGCCCTCAGCTGCAATTCTGGCCCAGACTTCACCATGACATTCAGTAGCAGCACAGGCCACTCTGATCTGGATGCATCCTAGCCCTCAGTCACCAACTTGGACTCAGATGGCTGATCTGACCCTGAGCATCCTCATTGTGCTTGGTGACAACAGGAGCCACGTACATCAGTCTGGACCCTGGCTGCTATTGGGCCATGGACCCAGACATGGTCCTGGGCAACAGCCTAGGCCTGGCTGTCATCATGGCCTCAAGTGGCAGCAAAGGCCACCCAGATTGGCATGGTTCCAGTGACAGTGTGGCTTGTGGACCCAAACACAGCCCCAGGAGGCGGCCCAGCCCACTGGAATCAGTATGGCACTTGACAGCAGCAGGAGCCATGGACATCAGCACACCCTGGCTACTGTAGGACCAGGACCCAGACATGGCCCTTGGCAGCAGCCTGGCCGGGACATCACCATGGCTCTGGGTGGCAAGCAGACCTACCCCCTCGGTCTACTCCTCACTGCCTTCACCATGGCCCTAGGTGGCAAGCAGGCCTCCAACATCTGCCCACTCCTCGCTGTCTTCATTTCTTCCTTTCTGTGTCTTTCCACAGCGCATGAACCATTCCGCTTCTCTATCTCTCCCATTTCTCTACCACATATTTCCCTATCATAATAAGGCCCACATGCCTGGTGGGCCCATAGCTGTCTTCCTGCCGGCCTTAAGAACCCCGACTGGCTAGACTTCATCTCAAGATTGACACTTTTGATTCCTGCACTTATCTAGTTTTAAACCAATTCTCTTTTATATCAATTGTTTTAAAATTAGAACAGAGAACATACACTGTCTGTATCCATCCAGGTTAGTTTTGTTTTTATGTCTGCCATGTTATAAGCATAGAATCATTGTTTATTGACTTGAATTAGGACTTGAAGAGCAATTTCTTTTTTCTCTTTTTCTTTCTGGTATTGGGATCAGTTATAGAGCATTGTATGTACTAGGCAAGCACTCTACTACAGGCTACAACTAGAGACCCCCCTCTCCAATTTTTCGCCAGTGCTAGGGATTGAACCCCGGAATCTCACACATGTTAAACAAGTACTCTCACCAAGTGAGCTCTCCCAGCTCCTGTTAAAGGCTTTGGAAGAAGAAATTTTGGCCTAAAGTAAGGAGCTGGCATAATTTCTTAAGATGCCCTTTAAATACATATTTTAATACTTTGAGAATTCCTTTTATGTATACCATGAAATATCATATGAGTCATCCTCATCTCCCCTCATTTCATAGCTCCAGCACATTTCCCTTATAAACGTAAATAAGATCATCTAAAATATTGACAGGATTTGGTGGATGATGCTAGTTGGTAGTAACTAATAACTGAAGGTATGACATTCTGTGGCTAGATATTCAAAGCAAACTTCTACAACTGTTCTATAATAATGCTTTTAATTTGCTTCCATCTGACAAACACTTAAGCACTCTGGATAGATGTTGTTCAGTTAATCTTCCAGAAGTAGATTGCCATTAGTCACTCCAGATCTTTGCCTACCTTCCAGATGTGAATGGAATCTGCCTCCATTAATGCTCTGCATGTTTGGAGGTCCGTGCAGTGGACATGTAAGTGATAATGTAGCAGGAGGAGCCTGTGGAGCAGAGGCAGGGAGTGGTCCATTCCTCCCTCCTGTCGCTGAACTTCTGAGAGGTGTTTAGAGATGAATCTAAAGCACATCTAGATATATCACTCATCACACACACCCCATCAATTAGAGAACAAAGCAAAAACTTCTAGTAGCTTTCTCCAGGCTCCTCAACAAGCCTTTAATTGCCCAGGTTGTACACACATTTTCTCATTCACTTAATTATTTTCTAATAAATGTGACTTTTCTAAGTTCCTTGTGTCTGTTTACAGTCATTATTTAGAATACTGTTTCCCATCTTGTAAATTCTCATCCTTACCTTTCTAGTATCTTAAATCTTATACCAAATGTCACTGTTCATATTTCACCTGATAATCATTTGTTTTTAGTGTGTACATTTCTTTTGAACTTAAAACATCTCTTAAAGGGCAGGTCATATTTAGATTACTATGTAAATTCAATAATGCCCAGCATTCTTGTTTATAAATGCCCAACAAATAACTGATGACTAGTGTATATGCTCTTACAAAGCTTTTAGTATAAAATATTTATATTTTAGGGATCTCTATGCCTCTTAAGCTTTGAATATTATTGTTAAATATAATGCTAGATTAGAACATCTTTGTTACAGTCGAGTCCATAAACCCTTTGGTATCAATTGTTGTCTATTGGTTAATCTATTAGCCAGGTCAGTAATTAGATTCCTCCATTCTGCTTCAGCAAGAAGTTGAGAACTTTAGGAAGCTAAGTCTCATTAGTAAAGCGCAGTTTGAAAACCTAACCCTTGAACTTCCTTTTGAGCTAAACCGAGTTCTTGTAGCACCTTTACAGTCCAGGCAAGGTATATACACGTGCTTTTGTGTTTGAGCACTCTCAAAGTAGTTCTTCATTGTTTTAAAGGATGCATTAGGTATCAATCAATACTAGAATGAAGAAAACTGAACATATATATTGTATGTATATATATACATATATATGTATATACACATTTATGAAGATTCAAAAATATAGACTGTAAACATGGGAGGAGGCAATCTTGAGGTAAAGTCAGAGGTCTGGGTAGGATTGTTGTAACTCTGCATCAATGAATAGGTAATCTCATAGTGTCGGCATTCTTATCTGTTGCAGCATCAGCACCACACAGTGCTTAGAGCTATGTGCTTGCTCACAATTGGTGCTTAGTGTATCTGATGCAATTTTCAGTTTCTTGAAAATGTTTCTCTTCTTAAGCCAAATTAAAATTCTCAGTTCTTAGGACACACCATGAACTATTTTGTTTTGAGGCTCCTGCTCTGTGTGAAAATGTGAATGCGTGTAGTAGTCTTAAATAGAACCTGACATTTCCAGGCAAGTGCAATTGACTTTGATAGTCTTTCTTGAAGATGGTTAAAAACATGACTCTTCTGGGGTGGGTACTGGAATTACAGGCATGCTCCACACCCAGTTTGCATTTACATCAGTGCTGGGTCCTCATGCTTGTACAGCAAGCACTTTTGAACCATCTCCATGGCCCCAATGACATTGTCTTAATCAGTGTGCATGTAAGCTGCAAACACTGTAATAGGATGGCAAGTCTCTCTAGTTGAAACGTTGATGAGATTTCTTGTAGTAAAGTCTGCGGTCTCTCTCAGTGCACTATTGGAGAAGCAAAGGAGTTTGTCCTAGGAAGTTTCCACCTGCTAGATTTTGCAAGTTGTGTCACTGTGGTCACATTTAACTTGTTTTCTATTTCCACAGGTTTGATACAGAGGGATGATTGGCTTGACACTAAAATTTCTCCATACACAGTGATGTATTGATTCTTACTGTCTTGTGCAGGCTCACCTTGACCTCTTCTTCTTGAGAGGCTGGCTGCAGGTGTGCACCACTGTGCTGGTGAAGACATTCCTGACATTGGGTTTGCAGCATGGGGGAGTGAACAGGAGGCCTCTTCACTGCCCTGCTGTGCCCCAGCTCCTGTCTCAGGAGGCAGGGGGTCTCCTTTGAATCCCTGTTATTTGTTAATCTCCTCTTTTTAGTTTTTCCTGATTTATTTTGCTCTTTCTTATGGTCCCGTTAGTTTCTGGTCTTGCTCCCTTCTCTCTGCCCCAGTGGGGTTTGCTGTGTTCCTCACTGTGTCATGTGTCCGAGTGGATGGAGGACTGAGTTTGACACCGAGAGCACCCAGTGCTGCATGTTTCCTTTTAAGCAAAATGCGTTTCACAAATTTCAAAAGCATATGCTTTCATTTTCATTCAGTTCCTAAATTTTTGTAATTAAAAATGTTTTTGACCTATCAATTTCAATTTTCTTAAAATTTCTTAGTTTGAGTGTTTTCATAAGAATGTTTTTTGGAGGAGAAGTTTAACATACTGAGTAGACTTTCTTTTCTAATGAAAGCATTTAATCCTGTTATTTTCTTCCCAATACTACACTAGCTGCAGTTCACAAATGTTGATATAGTGTATTAATTTTCATTTGTAATGATTTCTATAATATTTTAAGATTTCAACTTTTATCTTTATTTAGAAATGTGTTATTTTATTTCCAAGCAATTGAAAACTTTTCCTTTTTATGACAGTCTTTTTTTTTATTCATTATTTGATTATGAAGAACATACTGTACATTATTTCAATAATTTCATGGTCATGACAATGTCTTGTGTGCATGCATATGTTTTCTGGGGGTTAAATCCAAGCCCTCTCACATGCTATGAAATCAGCCCATCATGGAGTTACATGCTGTGTTTAGTGGAATGCTCTATGATATCTATTTGATCCAGTTGGCTGTTGGTATTGATTAATTGATTTCTCTGTCTGTTTGTTCTGTTTATTTCTGAGGATAAGTTGAGGTCTCTTTATCTTCATTTGTTAGTGTTTCTGATGCATTTACTTTGGAGCTCTTCTGTTGGGTGCACAACATATATGGCTCATTGTGTCTGGCTGGCAAATTGACCCTCCTATTGATCCGTGTTATCTTTCTTTATCTTGAATAGTTTTCTTTGCTCTGGAATTTGTCTGATTTCAGTTAAACTACTCCATGCATCTATTTCTATCCTTTTACCTCCTGCATCATACTTGAAGTAAAGTTGCTATATCATATAATTGGGTAATGTTTTTTTCAACCTCATAATTCCTTTTAGTTGGTATATTTAGACTACTTACTTTTAATTAATTTTTTTATTTGTTTATTTGTTTTTGAAACAGGATTTCTCTACATAGCCCTGGCTATCCTAGAACTCACTATGTAGATCAGGTTGGCCTCAAACTCACAGAGCTCCTCCTTATATCTCCTGAGTTCTGTGATTAAAGTCATGTGCCAACTGGCCTGGAATCCTTACTACTTTTAACATAATAAATATGTTGGGATCTAGGGTTACATTTTTATTTAATATTTAATATTCATATATGCATATAACATGTTTAGATCCAATTCATCCCCTATCCTTTGCCTTCAATTCCTCTCCTCTCCCGATCCTACCTTTCCCTCCCACATTCATGTGTGTGCACACTTGTACTCTCTCTCAATGATTTATTATTATTATTTTGCATCCCAACCCCAGTTTCCCCTCCCTCCTCTCCCCCCAGTCTCTTCCCCCACCTCCCCTCTGCTCCCATACCCCATCTACTCCTCCATTTTTATTCAGAGAAGAGCAGGCCTCCCATGGATATCAACCAAACATGGCATATCAAGTGCTTGCACTGTATCTTTCTGCTTAATATTAGGTTTGTGGTTTGTTTCTGCTCCCTGAGTTGTTTGTTTGTTTCCCCTTTTCTGCCTTCTGTTGGTTATTTTTAATTTTCATTTGTTTTTAGTTTATTTTGAATTGAGACCTTTGTATATGTATATGTTTATTGGCTTTTGTGGTGGTTCTAGGATTTGTGAAACAGCTTTTCATAGGTTATAGACAATCAGTATTTTACTATTGCAGTAAGATTGTCTGTAAACTTTCCCCCACTTGTTCCATTTTCCCTCACCCATCTCTTCCCCCACTGTGTATGTATGTGTGTGTGTGTGTGTGTACAGTCACATTCCTGCCATGACACACAAGGGGAGGTCTGTCAGAGCACAACTTTTGGGAAATGGTTCTCTGTTCAGCTTGCCTTTAAGACCGAGTATCTCTTGACTCTGCCATCCTGTGTACTCCAGGCTAGCTGACCTACCATCTTCTAGGCAATTCTCTGGTCTCTACCTCATCTTAGGACTGCTGATATCTGGGTTTGGGTGCTTTTTTTGTTGTTGTTGTTTTTGTTTTTGTTTTTTTTGTTTTTGATGTGTGTGTATGTGTGTGTGTGTGTGTGTGTGTGTGTGTGTGTGTGTGTGTGTGTGTGTGTGTGTGTTGGCCTCGAACTCACAGAGATTCACCTGGCTCTGCCTCCCAAGTGCTGGGATTAAAGGCATGCACCACCACTGCCTGGCTTTTTGGTTTTGTTTTTATGTGGGTTCCAGGGATTGAGCTTGGGTGGTCAGGTTTTTACAGCAAATACTTTTACACATGGAGCCATCTCACTTCTCCCCATCTATTTCTTTTTAAAAGTTTTGTTTCTTTAAAAGAATTGGGTGTGTATGAATATTTGCCCTGCATGTGTGTGTACACCATGTTGTGAGCAGAGAGAACATCAGATCTTTTCGGAACACCACATGGGTGCTGAGAATCGAACCAGGTCTTCTTAAGAACAACAAGTGCTCTTAACTGAGCCATCTCTCCAGGCCCCTCCCATGTATTTCTTTACACCATAGTTTTCCTCTTTATCTTTTCATACAGTTAAAAGCCCATTGGGCTGTATATATCTTTTACTTTTTAACTATTAAACACGTTTTAGAGAACTTAAAACAGAGTATAAACTATTATGTCAGTCCACACATTTCTCTTGCTCTCCCTCCATTTCTGGTGGTCTGTTTCCTTCTGGTATCATGTTTTATTTATTACTAAAGTCCTTTCTTTAGCAGTTTGATGCATTTGGTGATTTCTCTTAATCTCCCTTATCTGCTAACTCTTCCTTCTGTTTCACTGATGTGGCATTCGGGGTTAGCAGTTCTTTCTAGCTCCCATGGTTTAAGATATGGAAATTCAGTCACTCATTGTTCAATAAAGACATTATTCTTTCTCTCTAGCTTTCCTTATCCTCTTTCAAGGCAGCAGCTGCCTCTGTAGCCCAGGTTAGCCTTAGGGTGATCCTTCTGTTTCAGCCTCCTCAGTGGTGGGATGATAGGTGTGCACCACCAGTCACATTCAGTGAGAGTACACTGTCACCAGGATGCCATCTTGGGAATTACCTGAGCCTCCAGAAGTATTTTTCTGCTGTTTTACCTTCATTACAGTGGCTGTGCTTTAAACTACTAAACAACTAAATGAAACTACTAAACAACTGCTAAGGCCAAATCCTGGGGGGAATCCTGTTCCCCCAGACAATGGTCCTGTTGCTGCCACTAAAGGGAGTTCTAACTAAATCTCTACAGTTCTAATAAAACTTGAGTTTCAAAGGCTAGGGTGAAAACCTCTGAGCTCAGAGAGTTAGAGTAGCAACTGGCTAACTTTCTCTTTGCTGGCATCCTGGAAGCCACTCCCTTCCACACTGCCCCAACTAAAAAAAAACTGATGCTAAGCTCCTCCCTGCTACTTCCTGTCAACTAGGAAGCAGCTAATCCTGCCCCTCTGAGTCCTGGTTAATTTTATTTAATTAGTGCAAATGAAACACATCTTTACATAGTAACAAATGCAGCATGAACAAGTGTAACACATTTACATCTTTTCCTGATTAAATAAATATTCCACAACATTTTCCCCTTTTTGTCTAAATAAAAAGGAAGAATTTTAACTTTAACATGGTAAAACTATATACAACAAGAACAATTATTAAGTAAGGATTACATTTACAATATCCAATCCCTTTGCATTTGACAAATTCAGAGAAATCACACTATTACCTATTCTATATTGATTAGCCCAAAGTTCTGTAACTAATTTACCTTCTATCATAACTAAGGAAAACCATTAACTACAACTATCTAGTCTTCAACTCCATCAAAGACACCAGAAGGATATAATATTACCCGAGTAAACAGAAAGTGCAGTGCAAGCCACTTC